CCATTTGCCGCCATTTTTCATCCGCTTATTTCGGCTTCTAACTCGAGGCAGCGTTCACACATCGCAAAAACTGCGCACAAAACATGGGGTAAGTTGTTGAATGTCTGTCTCCCGCACGCACAATTCAGTGACATCCGATAACAAAGCATGAATCTTGAATACTGGCCCGAATAACCTTACTTTCAGCCTAACAATGGATGAACGAGATCATGACCGCAAAAGTTTGGCTTCTGCACCAGAACTGGCGTAACAAATTTGGAAATGTGTACTATGTGGAATATTAAAAAGTTCTAAATTTGTTCTTTGCGCTACATAAACGTGTAAGAAATAGCAAATAACAACGAAGTCAAACGCCAATTTTTAACGATGGCTAAAAGTTTTTCCTCAGATCGCTTTCATGAGTTGTTTTTGGTTGGTGAAAACCCCCGGATCATTGGTAAGATTTCGTTTGCTTGCCAGACCTCGTTTTCATTACAAATTTATTGACTGTACTCTGAAAAAATAACGAAGAACCATCCAATTATGACATAAATGGGCTTACCTATAAAATATTTTCTTCATTACCACTTAATTTTACAAGTAACTGTTAACGGCGAACAATTTGGTGTGTGGGAGACGTCAAAAGTTTAAAAAAACTGACAGTGATTCTACTAGCAAATGAAAAAACATTCGACTCTCGACCGCACGACTTGAACTGCAACCTGAGATAAATGTTTTCAGCAAGTCATGGCCAAGGCGACAGTTACGAGTCGCCCATAACGGTTATCGAGTCGAGTAGTAAGCCCATTTTTGCGCTATTGGTTCTTTGCAGCTACTCCTAACCACAGTAAAACCTCTGTAAACCGAACCTCGATTATCCGATTCCCGCATTAACCGACCGAATTTCAACCAGATCGGTTGCGATCGGTTTCTACCGACGAGAGTCTGTAAAGCTATGTCCACGTGGTACAATTCATTGATCTAACCTCACACCCAGATTTTGCTGATTATTATGAACACTTCAGGACATTTAGAGAATTGGTTACTCGCAGGCAAAGACAAAAGATAACCCAGCAGAAATTACGTAGCTCTTGCAAACCAGCTGGTTCCCGTAAAATCTGAACCTCTACTCCTTCTTGTTCAAGACAGCATAGCAAGGAAATCAACTGGCATTAGCAGAATCACACCGGAGCCTCCACTTCACGTGACGGACGGCGAATCAGAATGACTGATAAATTCACTCTTTTAATAGAGGGACTTCCTCGAACAGCGAATCTCTGTATATTTCAGTATTTATAATAATGATTTACTTAATGTTTTTCTTTAAACTTTGCTAATTACGTCTTTGTCTTCTACTTACTTTTCCATATCCATGACCAAGTTACCCTTCCCTTCGCTCATCCGACTTATCGGCTTATCCCCCGATATAGGTCGATTAAACAAAGTTTCATTTCTTACAACCAGATTGCAGATTCTTTCAGTTATTAACAGATGACACCAGTAGACACTGGGTTATCATAAAAAAAACTGCACATCACTAGAAATAGTAGTGGGGATTCCACAGATATTACCAAACGACGCGAATAAGTATCGAAACCAAACGTAACCAAATGGCACAAATTACATAACTACATGAACTAAATATTACCAAACAATAAATCTGTTCCTTTCCCAAATATCACAAAAGAACATGTAAATGTCGAGTTCTGTAGGCAGTTCAATTGAGATTCTTACACGTGCTCGCTGATTAACAAGAATCCAGTCACTGATGTGTAAACTAGCTGAGCGTAATGTTTGCGTCTCAAGAAGAGCCATGATGCATGGAGTTAATCATCAATGAACCCTAAACCAGAACGTAGTAACAATGGATGTTACGGCCGATTTGTTGGGTGTTTAAACTCGTCTGAATTGACTGTCAACACTAAAAATAAATTTACACAATATCTGAATCCTGGCAGTGACACGTTCTCCACACCAAATGTAAGTTGATAGCTGCATCGTAGTTATTCAAGTACTTCAGTACAAACCTAACAATGACCTCGTCAACAGGAACAAGGAACATAAAATCAGTGTTACGCTGCCACTAAGGTAGGAACACTTAACAACAATAAAAATTCTGTTTAACTGCACTAAATATATTCTTACAAATGTGTTGCACTCATACATCGCCGTGTATCTCGAAGTTCATCCGATGTGCTTAGCTACTCCATCACACACAAAGATGTCTGTCTTCAGTCCGCACACTAATTCGGAATTCAAGCTGTCTTATCAGTCGTTATCAATCAGCTTCTCTACCTGTTGCCACAGCAACACGATACAAACAGTTGGGAGTGTCTCGTAGCATATCCATTGCTGCCACAGCAAAAGGCCCGGGTTAAAATTCCCCTTATCAGGCCTCGTCCGAGAATCTGTCTGATATATCCACTTCGTGACTTACCACCCGATACTTCAGAAAAATATTATTTGTACCGAAAATCGGGAATATTAAATAAACTACAAGAAAATTATAAACTTCCTTCCCAAATCTTTGGTTTTGGATTCGGAGGCTTTTATGTGATTGAAAGCATGTATTCAGAATCAATCCATTTTTAAACTATTAATTATTTATACTCTTAATATTAATACTCTTTCAATGCATTGGTCAGTGGAGTGTCAATAGGAAGAGTTCACCTAACACTTTTCCACGTAGGGGAGGACGGGGGAATGGCGGTCAGGCACTTTTCTGACGAACGGTACCAGATAGAAGCTTCAAGCTGGTGCTGACATCTGGTGCCTGATTCAGTGAAGTTCAACAGTGAATTCCGCCATTTGCTTCAGGTGCATTTACCGAGATAATTGCACATGTCTGTTTTGTAATCCAGTGATCTAATACTTTACATTGAAATATCTGAGGTGAGTGAACTTTCTTAAAATTATATGAAATTTTCTTTTGAGTGTCTATAACATGCGAGACTTGGATGTAGTTGATTATGAATAAATATGTTCTAGTTCACGGCAACACGCCTTCGTTTGAGGTTACGCGTTTGGGGTAATGGCGGTCAAGGATCGCCATTACCTAGGGTGAGTCCACGGACACATTGCAGAAAAGCAAAGGCAATGAGCATTCGGAGATTCTGACAGGGACACCCATGAAGGGTTCCTTAGAAAGCTAGGCATTAAAGAGAAATGTTAGAGCACAGAACAGAAGTAGGCAAACAGCAATATTTCCAAAGAAAATGCAGAATAAGGAAACAGGCCCCAAAGAGAGAATGAAACTCTGCAGGAAGCATCTGAAGAAAAGGTGGACTTGGCTTCATCAGAAGAGGACACCGACATAACCGATCAAAATATTCTTGACGAAAATGAAGACGATGACATAGAAAAGAGCCATTTCTACATCTTTCAAAAACCTTTTCTTACAAGACTAATACTTTTGAATGAGAAAAAAAAATTCACATCAATATTCCACGCTCGGAAGAGTCGCTTTGCATAAATGTAGGTTTTGAAGTTATAATACCAAAAATGTAGACAATAATCATAAGAAAATTAAATAGTGATGTAAGTACCCGAATTTACCCCATGATGTAACAATCTTGAACGTAAAAATTATGAAGTTCTGAGCACACCGTTTCAATGAATTAAATTATTCCAAATGAATTGCTTTGTGCCTTGGACAACGTTAATACCATACTATCATCTATAGTTGTTCTGTAAAAGGTTTAAATCGCTCCATTACCGTGGTCTTAAACTGCTGTCGTCTCACTAAACAAATTAACTCTTGAAAATCGAACATAAGGTAAATATTGCTTGAGACATTTCCAGCAATGCAAATCCTATAGAATGCAGCACTAATCAAGGTTTGAGTTTGTTTCCAAGCTTCAGTGAAAGGAAATGGCTTTCACTTTTTGTGCACACATCGGGCACGTCTTCTAATCTGATTCCAGCAACATTTACACAGCGTTATCAATTTGGACAGCGCTTGTAGATTCTCGGTTGTTCGTCACCTAACACTGCGCATATTCTAAAAGCAAGAAACTAGGTGTGTAGGTGACGTCACAAGACAAAGAAATTCATAGCGATACTGGTGGCGCCTGCCGCTGAAGTCCGTGGTAACAATGGAAACCACCCACAGCGTCCCACTCACTGCTCTGTAGTCCCAGGTCTGATCGCCCAATAACTCTAAAAGCT